CATCATGACACATATATATTAACCCATACAGGTGGACTTTAATGGGACACGTGTCACTAACCAGCTATTAGAGATCTTGTAGTTAGACACGTGTTCTTTTGATCCCAGTGAATCATTACGTGGAACCCTCGCGTTATGATGATAACTCATGAAGTCACGACATGCGTGTTTGGGCCTTCCTTAATTATCATTCAAGGCCCATATTGTGAATTAGGCCTAAAATAATTTTGCTTCAAACTAACTAATAAAGATTACAAGTGAAAAAAGATCATCAAAGCTTCAAAATTAGTTACTTACAAATATCCAACATAACATAACTCTTGAATTAAACCCAATTCATATAAACATTTATACATATATATATGTTTGCTTATATCCCCTTTTTCTTCGTTCTGTTCTCTTACCGGAAAAGAGAAATGGGTTGAGTTTAAAAAGCTTATTTTTCACCATTGATGCCGAAAATGCGTACCTTGTGCATATTAGGGAACTTAGCAACAACCAGAACCATCACTGCGAGTGTGTTGAGGAACAACCATGGATGTCTGTAATCTGTTGTATGCGATGCTATCAAATACCTGTTTTTTAATATAAACATTTGTCATCATCAAATGATTAAGAAACCAAAGAAACAATGACAATAAGACTATAATGTAAAACAAGTAACAGAGCTCAGTCTTAAAGCTCAACTCCAAAAGTACAAGGTCCGCGAGTTCTCTAACAAGTCCGTTATTCATTATCGGTTTTAGATTGTATGAAGTTGAGTATAAAGATATAAGGCTTAAATGCAGCTAAAGAAGATGCAGAATTGAAATAATCAAGAAATGTTTTGAGATTTTTAGGAACGGGCGGTTGGGACTTACAGGACAACAGGAACTACGGTAAGAAATTTGCGGTTGCGTGTGAGTTGTTGACCATTGTCCATTTGTTCCCACCAAGTCAAACCATTGTAGATTCCTTGGTCTTCTGCAAATGGAGTTCCTTTCATCCAGTGAAAGCAATGATATGTTACCTGAACCACAAATGCTACTCAGATTCCACATTTTGCAAAAGAATCATAAAATTCGATAAATTTGGTTTCGATGATTTAAACAATGGCTAATCTACAAGCCAACCAATTACATCCAACAGTTAGACCTTAAGAGAATTCTAATAAACTGAAACCTCATAAGGCTATTGCATCTTATTTCGAAGACTCTGATAGCAAAACTGATCAATTAAAAAATTGGAAGGGAATTGCATCTTAATTCAACGCCTGATCAACTCAAAACTAAAGTTACTAACCAAACTGATCAAGATCAATTCAAAACCAGGAGGTAGGTAACTGCACCTTAATACAAAGCCTGATCAACTCAAAAATTCTGATTCCAAAACTGATCCTCAACATTAAATGCCAGATTCCAATACAGATCTCACGAAATCGAGAGAGGAAAAACAAAAACCAATGGAACAATCAATCAATCATGCAATTCGAAGTCTCAAACTTATTTAGGAGCGTAAACAATCGAACACTCAAGCATATACACATTCAACGAACCATCGATTTCAAAGGTAGACGAAAAAGAGAAGAACTTACAACGAAGTGAGCGAGATTGACAACAGTCCAAGCCATTCCAGGAGAACAACCAGAGACGGAGAGAACAACGAGCCAACCAAAGAAGAGAATGAGTATATAAGTTGTCCAAACTCCTGGATACATGAACCACTCCGTATTCCGATTCATATCCGGTGGTGGAACCGCTTTCACATACAGATTCGCCATTTTTTCCTTCTTCTTCTTCTACAAATCTGATCCAACGGATCGAATCTAGAAGCAATACGATTGATTCTCGTGTCTTTTGAAAATGGGTACCGAACAAAATTTCCTAATTTCACCTGAATTGAAAAACCCAGATTCACAAAAAAAATTCTCTCTTTCGGTGAGAATTTCTCCAGATTTTTGTTTGGTTTAATTTTGGTGTGCCCGTGAAAGACGACTGCATTTTAGCATCTACCGTCGAATTAAATAATTGGGATTTTAAAGATATTTTACACATTAAAACGGTTGCGTTTTTGGTTCCCATTTAAGGCATTTACCAACAAACAAAACGATCATTGAATTTGCAAGTTTTTACTAAAAGTCTAAAACTTGTCATTACAAACATTGAACAACACTCAATAACATGAGGATTTGTTTGTCACCTAACAAATTCAGTATCAGAA